TATACCTCGTGCACCCTTGGTGGTTGTTTTGACGTGAACGCTATCTTGGGAGGCTCAGACCAAGAACTAAGCTGGGAAAAATACCATTGCTGCAGATGCGCTGCGAGGAATAAACGCAGTGTGTTCCAGCGAACAAAACTCGAAGGCATTGAGGGCATGATGAGTTGTGGATCTAAATGAAGCATACTGAGGAATTTGTTTTTTAAAAAATCCACAAAACTCCAAACACTTGAAGGTAAAAGATGGAAAATTTGGAAAACTTTTTCCCGTTTTTGTTCTCTGTTACTTCGCCGCAAGTCATCACATTTCATCTATCAAGCAAGTACCTTTCTATTCCAGGACTTCTGCTCAGAGTGACCACTTTGGATCCTGAAATTAGTCGAACGACATACAGTAAAAGCCCCATATTGTGAAACGATTGATTTTTTATAACTCGCGCCCTCGATTTTTGAAAATAACCAAACTGAACATGGAGGATGTTGCAGCAGGAGTGTAGTAGAAGGCTTCGTGAGAAAAACCGGATGCTCCAGAAAGGTAAAGTCGTTCGTGGTTGAACTCAAACACGAATTTTACATTTGGAGGCAGGATCCGGTCCAACAAACAGATCACTGTTGATTAAAAACATCAGCCAGAACGACGCATTGCATTGCTTTTCCGGGAAGCGTTTCAGTCTGTTAAAGTGAGCAGAACTTTTTCCATTCTGAATAAATGGATGATACCAACGGTAATTCTAATGTCTTCATCATGGACACCGGATTTGTCGTGCTAAACGCAGCGTGAAAAGTGTATTCCACGGTTCCACGCCACAAGGATAAAGAACACGCCTGCTGAGAAGTGCTCAGTGTGACGACTTTGAATCCTGAAATTAGTCGAACGACATGCAGCAAAAGCCCCCATACTGTGAAACTATTGATTTTTTATAACTCGCGCCCTCGATTTTTGAAAATAGCCAAACTGAACATGGAGGATGTCGCAGCAAGAGTGTAGTAAAAGCCTTCGTGAGAAAAACCGGATGCTCCAGAAAGGTAAAGTCGTTCGTGGTTGAACTCAAACACGAATTTTACATTTGGAGGCAGGATCCGGTCCAACAAACAGATCACTGTTGATTAAAAACATCAGCCAGAACGACGCATTGCATTGCTTTTCCGGGAAGCGTTTCAGTCTGTTAAAGTGAGCAGAACTTTTTCCATTCTGAATAAATGGATGATACCAACGGTAATTCTAATGTCTTCA